AGGAGACAAAGGGGGCTCCCGGCCTTCGCTCTTGCTGCTCGAAACCGCTGCAGCGACCTCGCCGCGGGGTTTTCAGCAGCCAGATCGAGGAACCGGGGGAGAGGAAGGGATGGAGTTAAAGCAAATACTAATAAAAGACTGGAGGATGGATTGCGCCTCTCCTAATAGACTGCGACAAACCGCGAGGCTGAGGGCATTTCACGGGCCGTACTGCAGGATTTTTATGCATCCAGTGCAGCATTTTTTTTTTTCTTTGCTGTTTCTCGAAAGAGCCGCTGCATCAAAGAATTTCCTTCCTTCCTTCCTTCCTTCCTCTCCTCTCTTTAGGCGAACGAACCAACCCGACCCAGAGCCACCTGCGTCTGCGCGTTAGCTGCAGCGTGAAACCTCACGCCGGCCTCTCTTTCCGACGCTTATCCGCGTCGCAAATCCCCGCTCGAGCAAAGCCGCGTTCCCCGAGCGGGAAGCTGACACCGAGCCTTCCCGCGAGCCGCGCCGGCGCATCCGCGCGCGTCCCGGCTCTTTTCCCCTCCGGCGCACTAGGAAGCGCGTTACGCAAAGCGGCCGAATTTGCAAAATTATCTGGCGGGTCCGCAAGGCTTTTGATAGCTCAAATTAAACAAAAGAAATGCAATCCGCTGCGTCTTTAAGCCCTCGTAGGCATCCCAGCAGAGAGGTTATCAGAGAAGCTCGCGTAACCCTGGGTGTACGTACGCCGCCTCTCCCGATTGCTGCTCCGTAGCTAAATGTTTAATAACGTTTCTCAAGCGTTTTACTAAAGATACGTGCGCCCCTCGGGGACTGCCGGCCCCCTCGCTCCAAGCAGCTCCTGCAAACCTCCGCTCTGCTCCAGGCCAAACATTACTGATCTCCAAACCACGCCACAAATACCGCCAAGGCCAAAAGGCAAGCAGAGCAAGGCGAAGCAAAGGGAGCCGGCGATTGCCGCCGGGTGGGATTTTAAGCCGGCGCCGGTTTTGGAGGGAGCGGAAATTTGCAGCGTCGCTTCGCGCTGCGCCCTGAGCCCCGCGCGCCGCCTGGCCGAGCCGTTCCCGGCGGCAAAGAGGTGGGTTACAGTAAGGGGAGGAGGATAAATCGGGCTTTGTGCGAGGCCGCAGGAGAGGAGAGCAGCTGGTTGCGAACGACCGACTATGTAGCGGCCGCGGCCCTAAATACGAAAAAAGGAGCATGATGACCCCCCCTCCAAAAACGCGCTGACTCTGCCTTGCGCTAAGTGCAGACACGAGAGAGATTTTTAAGTTAACGGGGGAAGCAGCCGGCAGAGGACGAGGTGGAAATGAGCCTCGAGTTTTTCTGTTTGGAAGGGATACGCGGCATCAGGGGCCGGAGGCATCCGAGACGCCCGTGCCCGTTCCCCAGGCGCGGCTCCGCGGCCGCTTTTGCAGCGCGGGTCCCGCCG